TTAGGCTTTTAGTTTCTCTAAATTGTATAACACTTAATAAGTTCAGCACCAAACTTTAAGCATTCCCTTACTTGATCAGTTTGATATATGGCTGTTATAAGATCCTTGCAGTAAGATAAACATTCATTATATTTTCACATAACTTTTGGTAAGCACCATATGTTAAAACAAAAAAAAAATCCTCAAATTATGCAGCATTAATTGTTGCAGTTATAATACTATTTAGATTTATGAATATAAATGGCCTGAACTTATAAAACACTTTTTCAAGTTGAAAGATTTGGCCAAAGTACTTCACACTACATTCAGTAATTCACACACACACACAAACACATTACATTTTAGCCACAACTGACAAAAGTGAGGCTGCTATACACTGGCACCACCAGTCCCTCTGACTACCATGAGAAGGCAATGCAGGTGAAGTGTCTTACCCAAGGACACAATGACACTGAAAGCCAGAGCCGGGGGTTGAACTGACAACCCTGGGGTTGCAGGACAAACTAAGCAGCAGTAGATAGACTTCTGGACCAGACTGTTACATTATTTTCTTGGTTTGTCCTCTACCTAGCGTGGCAGTATAGTAAGTAGGTATGAGATGATTAGTAAGTCTGGCTTTTTTCTCTATTAGCTAGCCTGCAGTAAGGTTTGCACTGTAGTATTCTATCCTAAAATAATGAGTAGCCATCTGTTGGTTTCCACATCCACACTGTGGACATGCGGTTGAACTGTGGTGCAATTTGGTGCAAGGCAGTCCAGAAAATAAAAATATTGCATTAGATTCCTGGCCTAGGATTTTTTTTGTGCTGAATGTGCATGCTTTCCCTGTATGTGTGTTGGTACTTTCCTGGAACTCCCCAAAACAATCAACTAAGTTATTTTTTGTCTATCAACTGCTCTTAGGTTTGAGTATTTGTGGTTGTATGTCTATGTGTTGTCCTGTGATGGAATGGCAACCTGTCAAGGATGCAACACCAGACTGCTCGGACAGATAAGCGGCAGAAGATGGATGGATGAATGGATGGTCTGCATATTCTACAACTGCAAGTATTTCCAGACTACAAAACTATTTCTTCTCAGTGAGTTATGGTATTGTGGAGTTGTTTTTCTCCTTTTCAGCGAGCTGACCAACCACACAAAGCAACAACTTGGTTTAAGAGTGCTTACACCATATTCCTTACAGCTGGCACTTTTCCTTGTTTCTTATTAAAAGGACTTGCAGTAAAGCTATACAGTAGCAGTGGTATATTGGGTAAAGTAGTTTTGAAACTTTTACTTTCGAAGCGCTAACACACCTTGGCACAGGAAACTAATCCTTGCCTAGTTTAATCAATTGGTTGTGGTGTTTCTGTGGAGGAGGGGTTCTGATTCCTCACCAGGGAATAAGGTGTTGTATGTTTGATTTCATGCAGTTGTTCTGGAGACACAGGGGGGCTTGTGGTAGTTTAAGGCAGTGAGTATACTCAAAACAAACCCACACACACATGCACACACTTCTCTTTGGTTGGGCCCGATTGTTTCAGATGATGGATGTCACACTTTAACCCATGAACACAGTGCCCCTGCTGCCTTTAATTGCCCAATCAGGAGGCTGGAACATTTGTTATTATAGGGCAGTTAGGGCTGGATGCCAAACTGTACACATACAAACAGAGACGAGTATAAACAGTATCTACCTTTTCTCTAATCAACATTTGTCTGATTGGGAGCATGCCGCGCCTAAAAGAGTACGACTTGTTTCTACTTTCTTTATGAACAGCACTGATGACAGAGCTGTGTTGCTGTCATAGCACATTAAAACATGGTGACACCTACAAGTGTGAGCTCTCTTCAGAACTGTCCACTTTAATCTCCACAACTACAGTGACAACTTAGCAATGAAATGTAACAGAGGGGCTGGTGTTCTGACGCGACTTTATGACAAGACACTAGATTTTTAGACAGATAAAAGGAACGGAAGCTTAAAGGAAAAAAGAAAATCAAAAATGTTTTTTCTAATTTCACATTTGTATCCTGTTGATGACTATGACTTCACTGATGAGTTCACTGTCAAGATCTTTCCTTTAAGAGGTTATTGAATCCAAGCAAATCTTATTTATTCTGTCTAACTATGAAATCAAATCAAAGCTATGCACATTGTTTTGCCACAGTTCAGTTTAAGATGCAGGTTGTGACCATGAACAAAAGGGGGCAGTGTAACATCAGCAAAACAGAGGTAATACATAGTGTTGCTTCTTTTTTCATCTCTCGTTTTTCACCCTTTCACAGTTCTCTTTGCCTGCTGTCAGCTTCTTTCTCCCTTTTTTTCAACATCCAGCTCTTTACCCGTTGCTTTCTGGTTTCTATGCTCACTTTTGCTTAATCACAAACACACACATCCGCCATGCACACATACACACAAAAAAACGAGAGAGATGCACAAATGTGAATTAATCTCTGGCCTGATACACCAGCTCAATTATGAGCCACAATGCGTGTAATTAGAAAAGAATAAAATGCATTTCAGTTTTCATTAATGAACTTCATTGATTGGCTCTGTCTCTTTGTTCCTTGTTGTGATTAAGTTAACTTTATGGAGAATAAACACCACACTTGCAGCACAGTTACACCAGTAGCAGACCTGCTACACACTCATGTGTGTGGCATTTGCTATGTGTGTTGTCTTTGGCTGGGTTTTGGTGGCGGCATGACCAGCTGCAGAAAATAGAAATAGGCTTTAAAACAAATAGTATAGAGAGATGGAGGAGGGGAGGGAAAAAAAATCAAAAGAAAGAAGTCATAAATCTTGCAATGGGATGGTTGAAAAAGCTGGACAGTCTCATTAAAAGAAGAATGAGTGCACAGCAAAAGACATAAATGCATTTTGGAAATCTTGCTCCCATACAGTTTAGTAGGCTTAAAACAAGATTTGAGATAAGAAGAACTAAAAGGTTAACTTTTAACAATCATGTATGTTATGAACTCTTAAGTGCAGGGTTGTTTTTTCATGTGAGTATGCTTACGCTTCACATGTTTTATATGACGGCGGCCATCTACAGATGGGTGGGTCCCCCAATGCCCAGACCTCTAATTTACAGGTGTTTTGTGTATATTTAATAGACAGGCCAATGTGTGTGTGTCTTTCTTCCAAGCTTTACTCAGTGTGTGTATGTGTGAGCACACATGGTGGAACAGAGGCTCTGTGTCAGCAGCGGTGTGCCCTCAGTGAGCCTGTCTCTAATTACAGTCTAGAGTTTCAGCGTTTCAGTCCGTCCATCTCCCTGTTTAAACCCAGCTAAGGCAGCCAGGCCCCACTGAGCCAAGGTAAACCATACAGCTAATTAGACAGACAAGCTTCCATCTCTGTACCAAGGGGGAGGTAGATAGGCGGTGGGAATGGGTCTTGGAAAGGAGGAGTGTTTCTGAAAAGCGGGAGACTTTGGCGGATGAACTCGAAAAGTGAGAAATGGAAAGAGCAGAAAGATAATAAAAAACACTTGAAAATATTTAAGTTCATTATGCATCTAATTACGTTCTTTTAACCTTAGAACAGGCATCCCCAAACTCGGTCCTCGAGGCCCGTTGTCCTGCAGGTTTTAGAGGTTTCCCTGCTTTAGCACAGCTGATTATAACGATTGTAGTAGAGCAAAAGTCTGTTAATCAGCTTTGAATTAAAATCAGCTGTGCTAGAGCAAGGAAACCTCTAAAACCTGCAGGACAGCGGCCCTCAAGAACCGAGTTTGGGGATGCCTGCCTTAGATGTTTATAAAAATTAGAAGTATTGATTACTTAAAAAAACAGCTTTTTATTGAACACCTCTAATAAAATGCTGTGCTAGGTTTTCTCTTTCATTTGCACTCACATGTGAGGCTTGTGTAGGTAGTCAGTGAGTGTGGGAGGGTGGAGGGGGCTATTTTTGTGCCATTGCAATATTAGTCTAAAGGTGTTTTGACACCCTCCACAGCGTTTTTGAACCCAGGGGTAATTTACATATTGTAAACAAATGTAAACGGGGGGAGAGAAGGTCATTGGTCAACCTGGGGCAAGCTAATCTGCATAATTGGCTCCGGTGGTTCAAATTATAACATGCTGCTGCTTTGCTGAAAAAAAAAAGTAGGGGCGGCGAAGGAAACGAGGGGGGCAATTATGTTCATACGCAGCCAATGAAAAAAATCGTCCTTTCTTTTTTCCTGCAGCCTTTGCCTCTCCTTTCTGCCTTATTCTGACCAATGAGATTGCTCTGTGGTGCCCAACAGCAATCAGAAATTCATCTCGCTCCACGACAGCTAGACCCCACCCCCCTCTTATACTGAGATGGAGAGTGAAGGGAAGTGAGGGAGACAAGAAACAAATGAATGAGAGAAGAAGAGAAAGAAGTGTGTTTGAGTGTGTGACTGAAGGAAAGAGTGAAACAGAGAGAGAGCCAAAGCGGTAGATGGGATCTAGACTTGCCAGTCTAGGCAGTACAAAATGTGAGGGGGGGAGGCAGAGGCAGAGGGAGGGTGAGGATGGGAGAGGAAAGGGTGAGAGGCAGACATTGGCTCTGTCGAAGGAGCTAAAATGAGAACAGGACAGAAGGAGCAGAGAAATGGAGAGGAAAATAAGATGCTACTGCAGTGTGAGATAGGGTGACAGATCTGTTCTCCTCGTACCAAACACCATTTTCTCCTGCCTGTCCTGTCCCAAGTGAGGGGCTGCGGGGGGGAAGGGGGGGTGGAAAGCCACATTTGCAGATTCTACCTTATCACCGAAATACTAGAAATCATCTGTCCGTATGTGTGCAGAGAGAGAGGTTGGATAAGGGCACAGTAAATAAATCATGGGGGGGCTCATTGAAAGAAGGTCACCGGCTGGACCCTGCCTGCACACACAAACATACACAGAAGCACACGCTCCCACCCTATGCTCGTTGACAGGCCCCTGCCCCTCATTTCGGGGTGCTCTGGGTGATTCTCCCAGCGTAATGGCTTCTACCCCATTCCCAGTCTCCTGTCTGAAAGAAATCACACACAGTCCCTTCAACAGTAGCTCACACACTGACATACACACACCTGGCCAGTCTGGCATTGGGGAAAGGGAACGGATGGAAACAGTCGGGTAAATACCTTCTTTTGTTGATATTTGGCGTTCGGATCCACCAGCATGCCTTTATACTGTAAGAGGTTTCTTCCTGCTGCTTGTTTATTTCAGGCATTGTCCATAATTGTTTATATGTTCACTATTAAGTCTGTGTTCCTGTAATATTGGACCTGTGCACTGTCTGTATTCATGTGTCTTAAGAGGCCACAGCGTGAAGACGGCCATCTTGGATAAGGGTCTAAATTCAGAGCCTAGTTGAGATGCAAATAAATTTGATGCATTGCACAATTGTAGGGATAATTAAGCATTTATTTAGGCTTTCTGCAGAGTGGATTTGGAGGTTTCATTAATTACTTGTTGCATGATGAGGCTCAGTATAAAACAACTTTGACAGGTATTTAAAATGGTTTCATTTGCTTATTAAAACTCAGAGTTTTATCATACTGGCTTGCTGTACTGTAGTATGCAGAATTCATGTACTGAAGGAACAGCTACACTTCAAAAAAAAAAAAAATTTGACCGCATTTAAACATGAGTAACAAGGAGACAAATATTGTAGATATTTTCAGCCATTTGAGGCCCATTATGCTTTAGAACCAGTGATATCGACACTGCACACGTTGTATCAAAATACAGATCTAGTTACTGTAAAAAATATAATGATGCCAATGATTATTGGCATTTTTTTGTGTGCTTGACTGCGTGATTGAGGGGAGTAACAAGTGATTGAGAGACCTACAGACAGAAAATAAATGCATGGAAGCAGTGAGAGATGCATATGTCTGTCTGGATTTCTATCTTTGTGGTGGGTAGTGAGTGGGAAGGTCTATCAATCATTCTCAATCATTTATATTCAGCATTTCATATCACTTCTTCACAATTGGGAGTGGGAGAGACTTGGCTTATTTACATATGGAAGAGTAAGTGTTAAAAGCTGTCAGAGCAAACAAAATATAAAGCTGTATTGATGTACGCATTCTTTTTTGTTGTTCAGTCCTACCAGCTGAGAATGTGTGTGTGTTTGTGGATTTCCCTGTGTGCTGAAAAGTGCAGACCTGCTGTACAAAGCAAAAGGCCTTCTTTGACAACTTTTGCAAAAATTTTGCTATACTTTAACACCTGTTTTCTACAGTCAAATCATGTATTACAATGTAATAATTCTTTATTCAATCAGGTGTGACCTTATATTTTTTTCTTCCTTTGAGCTTTTTAAAAGTGTGTCTTTTTGATGTGAGGATTAAAATTAAGCAAAAAAAAAAAATATTAAATAAAGCAATAAAAAATATATATCCTAATTTTACATGTACAATAATATTTTTTTAATCACAAGGGAAAAGTTTTAAATTGCATACTTATTTTTCAGAAACGTTTTTTTTTTTTTTTCTGAGCATTTTAATTCCTCAATAACAAATTGAAAAGATAACATGTTTAATTTTTCTAAAACGGTAGTCTGTTGTTGCAAAATGTTATTAAAAAACTGTATTTATAAATGGAAAAAAATGTAGAAATGCAAGAAAAACAAAAAATTGTGCAATATTCCCTTTGGCAGCTCTGTTTTTATTGAACATTAAATTTTTTTATGATGTTTTATTATATTAACTCAAATATATGATAATGTATATGTATCTTCAATTATTTTTAGCTAATAATATTTGGCACTTTTGTTTCCATTTTTGTATTCTCAATTATTATTGTTTGGATGGCAATAAAATTGCAGATTACTGGTAGAAATAATAATTTTAAAAATGTTGTGTTTTCTGCTCTGTCAAGTCCAATACTCAGTTATCAACGTGTGTGAAAGTTCAGTTTTATAGATGTTTTTATTTTTTATTTATTTGTCTTCATTTTGCCCAAATGTGTTCTAAAGTATGTATATAAAATAGCTCTTTATCATTGATCATTAGGCTATTTAAATAATAATAAAATAAAATATAATAATAAATTAAAATATAATAATATCACAGTTTAATTTATCCCTAATATATCGAATATGCTTTATAATTCTTATAGTTTTCTTCTTAATCATTTTTATCTATTAAGAATAGATCTAGGGGATTTTTTTTTTTAGTTTAATGAACATATTGGACAACATTAAGGTTAAAACTAAGTCCATAGAGCTAACGAAGAATTTTGTTCGTTACAAATTTGATCTGGCTGTCAGAATATTTGATGAAAAAAAAGAAAAACATATAAGATGAGAATTGGTCTTTCTGTACCTTCCTTACACCTTCATTTTTCTGTCCTTCACTCTGTCCTTGGTTTTTGCCCATTTCACTCTGACTCTCTCTCTGTGTGTGTGACCTTGTGTTCTCTGTGAGCTGGTGTGTGGAAATTGGGCACACCTAACTACGGGGGCTTAAGTATAATCATGTATTTAGCTACAGAAATGTACTGACACACTGTTCCTCCCTGGAAAAAGAGAAAATCCCGTTAATTGAGGGATATTACTGTTCAGATCAATTTCCATGTTTCCAACGGTGATATTCATTCCCTCAAACCTGAAAAAATATTTATGTCTGGGTGTAAAAAGAATAAATAATAAAAAAAATAATAATCAATATAAAACTATTCATTATTTTTGGATGATTTAAAAATACCTACAATTTTACCATTATAAACACATTTAATAACAGTTTAGTAAGTGTAATGTGTTTTGCTCAAGGTTTATTTATTATATCTGCCCTATTACTGTAATCTAAAAAAAAGTCACCATGCTCAATTTTAAATTATAAGATTTTAAATTATCTAAATGTAAATTTGAGAAAAAAAAAATCTAAAATTTGTAAAAATGCTTTTGTTGGCTGTAATATGTATTACCCAGGTTCATCCAAGTGGCAATTACTGCCAATAGGGGCCAGTGTGTAACCAAGTATAAGGCCTTAGTGAGACCAGCATTCACTGGTGGAGAAGAAAGCCTGGCTTGGGGGAGCTTGTGGGGAGGAGAGAAGTGGGCTTATTGTTGGAGGGGGTATTGTGAAATGGGAAACAGCAAACAAGGCAGTCTTTAACTCTGGTTATAGAATATGTTAAAGCAATGTCTGAGATGTGCAGCGTGAATTATTTGCCTTATCATAAAATGCATTTATGACACACAGTCATAAATATGCATCAGTACAAGTGTTTTCATATTCGAGTCCCTTCCTCTTTTCTTTCCCTCCTCTTCACCCCCCAAACTTACTTGTTTTGTGCTAACAGTAAAAGAGCCCGGTCTTAAAAAATGCGACCCATTAGTTGATGTTTTGTAAACATTTTCCTATCTCTTGGGTTGCTGCTCTTTCTCATTCTGTCTCATTTCTTCTCCTCTACTAAATCTGCTTATTGTATTAAGCTGTTCTATGATTTAAAATGTTTTGAAGTCACAAAAGCAATTAGAAAATTCCATAAATTGGAGTGGGTGTAAGTATAACTGCGGTGAAACATGCACATCTCTTGCCCTCCCTCTCTCTGCCTGTTTCATCTTCATCATCAAAATCCTATTTCTAATTTCTGTGGATTTCCTGCCAAGAGCAGCCATGGCGCTGACCCCCTTAACTTGAACATATAATGTTCTTAATATCCAGATTAAAATTTTTTCTTTAATCTCTTTTCTACAACATGTTAAATTATTTCTGCAATCAGCCACAAGGCCAACCCCACCCACACCCATTCTCCTCATCTGTGGCCTGGCCACCCCAAACATAACTTCATATGCAGATACTCTGGATGCAACCACCACCCACCCTGGCTTTTGCCATCCCACACATGCTCACCTCCCCCTGCTCTTGTCTCTTTGCAATTAGAAAGTGAAAGACTGCAATAAAGGTGGCGCTGTATAGGAGGGCAGTTAATGAAAGAAAGGATTATGGGTAAAGGCAGCATCAAGGGAAGATTAGGAGAGGCTCGCTGAGACAAAAGATCCTACTGACAAGAGCTGCACAGTTTCACAAACAGTGCAAAACATTTACTTGATCATAAAACATACTCAGAAGGTTGAGATATGTGCATCCAGGAAACAATGTCTTAAAATTAACAGCTTGAAAGTTACACAATTCACAGTGTAGCAAAATACTACATACATTTTTTGTATTTTAAATTTTTGTCTGCAGAGGTAAAACAAACTGCAAGAAAATACAGCATTCTTATTCACGATACATTTAAATTCATATTTGTTGTTTGACACCTCGAAACAAACTACAGCTATATCTGGTATAATTATGGATTATATGCTTCTCACTATATTTATCAGTTAAGAGTATGGCTGCCATAAGTAAGAGCTTTAAACCCTCTTTACATACTTTAAACCATGTAGTTCCACAGGGCTCTGTTCATAGTCCCATTGCATTTGTGCTATATTGACATTTTAAATGTTTTAATGGTCTCCAATTACTTTTATTTACGTCGATGATAGTCACGTTACCCATTGGTGACTAGAAAGTTACAGTACTTTTTGAAAGGTATAAAATCCTGGCTGCGTAACAGTTTTCATCAGTTGAACAAGGGGACAACTAAGGTTCTTATGCTCTGCAAAACTTGGCACTCTTACTGGTTGAAAATCTCACTTTCTTGCTAAAAGAAACAATCTTTTACAGGTGTAGTGCAGTAGGCTGGTTTTCCTTTGATAGCAAACTTTTAACCAATCCCACTGTGTGATCTGATTGAATGATCTCTGTAAAGTGCCTTCAGAGTATGTGGTATGAATTGGCAAAATATGAATAAAATTGAATTGAAGTCACATTTTTATTGTGTTTTATTAGATTTTTGGCTTATTTTAGGTGTTGTGAATTTAATTGGATGTGTTCTATCATCATATGTTTTGTTGCAAGCCTCCTTGTTTTTTTTTCTTATTTTTTTTTCCCAAAACCCTTTTGAATTCATGGGAATCTCTAATAAAGGAGTAACTTGGCATGTGTCAGAGTTTTCCAAGTTGTTAAAGGAGCAGTGAGCTCTGAAGAAATAGAAAAGATAAAGGCCAAAAGTTCAGAAAAGCAAAGAGCCAAAACTTCCTCTGAGTATCTTCACCATATTTAGTTAATAACATA